TCTCTAATGATTCTTTGTATTTCTGGGATATACATTGGGATTATTCATTTTTAATTTCTGATTTTGTTTATGTTTGTACACTCTCTTGTTTTCTTGATAAGTCTGGCTGAGGGTTTATCTATTTTGTTTATTTTCTCAGAAAATCAGCCCCTGGTTTCACTGATTTTTTCTATTGTTTTATTCTTCACTATTTTATTTATTTCTGCTCTGATCTTTATTATGTCCCTCCTTCTAATAAATCTAGGCTTCATTTGTTCTTCTTTTCATTTCTTTAATTGTAAGTTTAGACTATTTATTTGGGATTGTTCTTGTTTTTTAGGTCAACATATACTGCTGTCTACTTTGCTCTCAGAACTGTCTTTGCTGCATTCCACAGCTTTTGGGCTGTTGAGTTGTTTTCATTTGTCTCCATGTATTGCTTTATTTCTTTTTTAATTTGCTCGTTGATCCACTGATTATATAGAAGCATGTTTAGCCTCCATGTGTTTGTAGGCTTTTTTTATTTCTTTGTGTGATTTATTTCTAGTTTCATACCATTGTGGTCTGTGATGCTGCTTGATACAATTTCATGTTTTTTAATTCATTTAGCCTCTTTTTGTGGCCTAATATATGATCTATTCTGGAGAATAATTCATGTACACTTGAGAAAAATGTGTATCCTGCTGCTTTGGGGTGGATTATTCTGTGGATATCTGTTGTTTGCCTGATCTACTGTATTGTTCAGTGCTTCTGTTTCCTTATTTATTTTCTGTCTTGTTGATCTGTCTATTGATGTGAGTGGTGTGTTAAGGCCTCCTAAAATGAATATGTTATAGTCTATTTCCTCCTTTAATTCTGTTAGATTTGTTTTACATATTTATTTGCTCCTATGTTGGGTGAACAGATATTTATAATGATTATATCCTCTTGTTGGACTGACCCCTTTATCATTATATAATGTCCTTCTTTGTCTCTTGTTACTTTCTTTGTTTTGAAATCTATTTTGTCTGATATAAGTACTGCTACTCCTGCTTTTTTCTCCAATATTGTTTATATGAACTATTTTTTTCCATCCCTTCACTTTTAGTGTGTGTGTGTGTATGTCATTGGGTCTGAAATGAGTCTCTTGTAGGCAGCATATAAATGGGTCTTAATTTTTTATCCATTTTGTCACTCTCTGTCTTTTGATTGGTGCATTCAGTCCACTTACAATTAAGGCAATTATTGATGGATATGTACTTACTTTCATTTTATTAATTGTTTTCTGGTTGTGTTTATAGCTGCTCTCTGTTCCTTTCTTCTGCTCTCACACTCTTCTCTTATTTGACAGTTTCCTTTAGTGTTGTGATTGGATATCTCTTTTTTATTTTTTATTATTTTGTGTATCTATTGTTGGCCTAATTTTCAAGAACAGCTTCCTTGCTATATATTACAGTCTATCTTAAATTGCTGATTACTCTATTTCATATACAATCTAAAGGTATCTTTATTCTTTTCCTCTTCCTCCTCCTCCTTCTTCCTCTTCTTCTTTCTCCAAACTTTATGTATTAGATGTCATAATCACAACTTTTGTGCATTCCTTGTCTGACTTTGTGAATAATTGATTTTCTTCTTTTGTTTTGTTTGGATTATGTACTTGCTTGGTAATTAACTAACTGGTCCTACTACCTTTACTGTGGGTTTATTTTCATTGATGAAAGCTATTTAGCCTTAGGAGCTTTTTCATCTATAGCAGTTCCATTAACATATCCTGTAGCACTGGTTTACTGGTTATGAATTCCTTCAACTTTTGTTCATTGAGAAATGGTTTAATCCCTGCTTCAAATTTAAATGATAATCTTGCTGGGTAGAGATCCTTGATTGGAAGTCCTTCTGTTTCATTACATTAATATATCGTGGCACTACCTTCTGGCCTGTAAAGTTTCTGCTGAGAAGTCTGCTGATAGCCCGATGAGGTTTCCTCTATAAGTAATCTTTCTTCTCCTTGTAGCTGCTTTCAGTACTCTCTCCTTATGCTTGATCTTTACCATATTAATTGTTATATGTCTTGGTGTTGTCTTCCTGAGGTATTTTTTGTTAGGGGTTCTCTGTGCTTCCATGGCCTGAGTGTCTGTTTCCTTCCCCAGATTGAGGACGTTTTCAACTCTTATTTCCTCAAGGAGATTTTCTATCTCTTTGTCTCCCTCTTCTCCTTCTGGTACCCCTATTATGTGAATATTGTTCCAGTTGGTTTGGCTACACAACTCTCCTATTATTCTTTCATTCCTAGAGATCCTTTTTGCTCTCTATTCTTCAGCTTCACTGCATTCCTGTTTCTAATTCCATTTCATTCACAGTTTATTCTACCTGCAATAATCTTCTCTTTTATCCCTCCCTCCATTATATGTTTCATTTCGGATACGGTATTCTTTAGCTCTGAGTGGCTCTTTTTCAGGTCTTCTATTTCTTTGTTGAAATCCTCCTTGAGATCTATACTGTTTTTCTGTAGATCTTTGAGCATATTTATAACTTTTATTTTGAAATCTTTATTGAGAAGATTGGTGATCTCTTTTTATTTATCCCTCCTTTTGGTGTCTTGTCCTGTAGTTTTGTTTGGAACACATTCCTCTGCTTCCTCATTTGTCAGGGTTTCTGTGTTTCTTGCTTTGTATTAGATGGCTCTGCTGTGCTTCCTGGCTTATGGAGTAATAGCTTTATGAAAAAAGCATCCTCTGGTGTCCAGAATCTCAAGACTCTCTACCCTCCAGTGGGGGAGCCCCAGCTATTGGTATGCAATTGGTGGGTCCAGCTTCCTGTCTTCTGTAGTGGTCTGAGTCTGGGTGGCAGTTTGCTTCAGCCATGCCTTTGTGATCAGTGCAGAAGTCTCTGCTGGAATTGCTCTTGGAGAGGCTTCCCTCTGCTTGCTCTGCTGCAATGGTGGGACTAAAGTGTAAATGTGGGCAGCCTAATGTGAGGCTCTGCCCAGGCCTGATGTGCAGCTCCAGGCTTGGACTCCTGGAGGGAGGAAGGATATCCTGGGGCTGGCTTCTGCATGTATCTCTCTGGTTGGACTGAAATGGAGCCAGGGAACCTGAGAGAGTTTCCCTCTGTCTTCCAGGCAGCAATGTCTGAAGCTGCTGCTGTGCTGAGTAGGTTATCTGGCACTGTGTGCAGGGAGGAGCCTGGGGTCTGCATTGTCAGTGGTGGAAATGAATCATCTGAAGCTCCTAAGATTTCTTGATCTGTTGGGCTTAGAGAGGGCTGGAAGGTATCACCTACCTGCCCTTTCTCCTGAGAAGAGTACTTTGTCCAACCTTTATCCCTCTGGTATCCCTTCCACTGCTGGCAAGTCTTCCAACTGTTTGCTCCACTTTTGTCTCAGGGGACTGGTGGAATTTGCCTATTCTACACAAGCAGCTGGAGTATCAGCCTCCCTGAGTGTTCCACCTCTCCTTGGTGTCCAGCCCTATTCATCACCAGAACCCAAAGTAATATGGGCTTGTGCTTCAGGAGTATATCTCCAGGGTCATTTGTTCAGTGATCCTAGACTCCTGTCCACTCCCTGCTCTGTCCCTCTCTCTCCTGATGGTAGGCTAGGATGGCAGGAGGGCTTGGGTTCTGCTTGATCACATCTCTGTTTCTTTATATTTTCTGTGAGGTCTTCTCTTCTTCTCCAGGTGTAATTAGTCTGTTCTGCAGTCTTTAGGTCATTTTTAGGTTTAGTTGTATCTGAAGTATTTTCTTCTTTTATGTGTTCTTAGGGGGAGGTTTCTGCCTTGCCTTTCTCTTCCACCATCTTTTTTTCCAGACTATCTACATTTAAAGCAGGCACTAGTGTTACTATAGATCCCTCAAGCAGAGGCAGTTTATTTTGACTGTGTGACAAGGCCAGAAAAACAACTGAGCCTAAGAACTGAAAGGCTAATGATCATTCCTTAACCCTCTTTTTTTTCCCATATACAGAATTTTATTGTTGTTAACAACCATTTGATCAATAAATATGAGAGATGCCCTCTCAAAAAAAAAAAAAAGACCTTGCCAGGTGGAGACTATCTTTTGATCATAAATATAAAAGCACACTCACTGTTTTTTATGAAGTTCAAAAAGCAAAATAAGGTTACCTGCAACTCAGACTCTGAACAGTTTAGACAAGCTGAAGACAGTAGATGTATGTCAATACTTATGTATATCATTTACATAATGGCTGTTGGCTAGATCAGTGATTACCAGATGTTGAACCAAGGACGGAATGTTTACACATATGAATCAACAGCCCTCTGCTTCCTACCCCCCAAGCTACTGACTCAGTGAAATGGGGGGTGTGGGGGGGATGAAGCCCTGTGACCTTTTTCTTGAAGCACCCTTGGTGATTCTGATGCCTGAACAGGTTAGAGAACTACGGGCCAGATCATCAAATGTTCTCAAATACAGATGCAATTTCTGAAGAATGTTCATTCCATATAATCACTGAGTTTCTGGGTCTTAATTTCTCCATTGAGTGAATCAAAGGAAGATTTTTGATACATCATCATTCCATTAACATTTGAACTACTATTTGCTTATGTAACTTTAGAAGCTGATCAAGGTAATTCTAGAACAATAATCTATATAACCTCTCTAGAAATGGTTAGAAACTTGCTTTTTCTGATCAGAACATTGGAATAATGTACACATTTGACTTTGAATATCCAAACCCAGAAACCTGAGATCCCTAAATTAAAAGCTTAAATTAGTCAAATCAGGATGTTTTGCTATTAGATTTACAAGTGTATCCAGAAAGTGGCTAGATGTTCACCCCTCTTCAATCTGATTGCTTATACTGCTTTTCTGATTATACTGCTTTCGAAATGGTTTCATAAGTCACAAAACTTGACTTAATTGAATCTTTCTCTTACCAATGAACTTCAAAGGCTTAAGTATTTATGATTTTTAAACCCTTGTGAGGCCTGGCATGACCTCCTTTGCCATACCAACAAGTTCTAGCACATGTCTCCCAAACATCCACCAGCCAAGAAGCTTTTAAGGGCTGATTATGTGTGTGCTTTTTAAATTGTATAATTCATTTATACAGAGAAATCATTTGGACTGATCTATTTACAATCTTTCTCCATTTTCACCTGTGCTGGTCAAATATAGTTCACAGAATAGTCAACATTTCCTTGAATGATCCACATTATAAGTCTGCCATGACACAGAGCACTTAGTCCTCCACTTAAAGACTATGATCTCATTTGAACAGTAACATTTTACAGTAAAACATTCATTACTTTTTCCCTCTTATAAATAAATCCACCAAAATTGATATAATATGGTCAGATTTTCAACACACCTGCTTCTTTTCAAACTCATTATTTGCAGGTATTATAAACCAACACAAATAAAATTCACTTCCCCCAAGCCTTCTATAACTTACTATACACCCTCAAGTTTAGCTTTTGCTATCTTCTTGCATGTTCTAGCACAAACAGACATTTTTACCTTAAGACCAAAGTACTCTCTTTTTCCCTCTTTTTTATGTATTAGGAGCCAACTGTCCCCGCTCCTGCTTTTCAGACAACACTAAAGCTCTCAACCAAACCCTTCAGGTGGTTTTCTTTCAGTCGTCCAGAATACACCGCGTCAGTTCATGTGTGTTCACCACCTTGCAATGCTACACCGGAAAAGTCACAATGTTCTTCATTGGCTCAAAAACAGTATGGCTTGGTTTCAGTTGATAAAGGTAATATGATTTTAAAAACATATATATATATATATATATGCACATATGTACACATTTTTATCAAGGGGGAAAAATAAAGGCTACCATCTGAAAAGGTGTCAAAGTAAAAAAATAAATAAATAAAGCAAATACTAAAAACTACTTTATAATAAAAAAAATTAAATAATTGGCAGGTTAAGTGAATGAAAATGAGGAATGTGTAGTGACAAAAACTAATATAAAGTATTCCAGTTGATAAAATGGAAAATCTGTATAAAGTTTTATACTTTGTTTCAAAAGGAACTTATGTTTCAGTATAAATTCTAATGTATTACACACCTGTATTCTGTGTAGGTTTTAGGAGCCAATGTTAAAATTTCAAAATTCTGCACATGCAGGTTATCAAAGAAACACTGGTAAAATCCCAGTATTTGCAAAATTTTTAGGTTTGGTAGATACTGTAAATATCACAATAGGCAATTATTGGAAAGTCCTGATGAATTTAGAATGAAGAAGAAACTCATTCCATAAATATTTCATTTGATTAAAAATACCAGGCTTGCATGTTCCAAATTATGAGAATATATCTTAAAAAAGAAGGTTGCAGTTTTAACAGTAATCTGTATATGCATCTTTAGCTGCCATTAAAAAAAAAATAAAAATAACCAAAAACAGAAAATGTTAAGACTAGTATTAAGTAACCCTGCAACACTCCCATGCTCACTTTTCAAGAAAACCCAAACTGTACACATTTATAAATAAACAGACTCTGCACTGGTAATACACAGAACTTCCTTTATACAGAAGTCTCTTTCCATTCACCACCCAATGGAGATTTGTCCCTTGGCTTTGGGAAGCCAGGCTGTGCTTGGTGCGCTCTGACACTCTTCATGTCATCTGTGGTACACGCAGGGGAGACACACACTGAAGCGTCCCCATCAACTTCAACCTGAGTCACACTGGATGCTGTAGATGCCCTTCTCTGGGTTTTGACATTCCCAGCAGAGGGGTTGTTCTCGACACACTCCTCATGGAGCCCGGGCAAACCCTGCAGCTCGGTTGGACTGGTGGCCTGCAGGAAAGGGGCTATGGCAGCTTGAATACAGTTGAACCACTGCTGCTTGTGGAACACATCATTGGCTTGCAGAGTGTGAGACTGGCCTGGAGAGGGGTCTTGGAAGTGAACTCTAAAGATATTTTTGGCTTTATCTGAGCTGCCAAAAGCCCCTCAAAAGAACCCTCTTATACTCACATCTCCATCCTGCAGGTCTTCCAAGACCAGCTCTTGGACGGGGATTGGTTGTCAGTAAACTTGGTAAGAGTGACGTTCATTTCGTATAACAGGCCGAGTCAAAACCAAGATGTCTTGAAACAGGAAAATATAAAATTTATGTCCATTTTTATTCTTCAGCTCCCCGTGGCAAAGCAATACTTTGCTTGCTTCAATTCGAGGATCCTTCTGCCTTTCATTCAGATACTCCAGTTTGTTGATGTAATACTGACATTCTGATTCTCCTTTCTTCAAGTTGATATCGGAGAGAACTCCTTGTATTATCAATATAGCTTCCTGCAGAAGCTGAACATCAGGGTGGTCTTCTGGAGTATGTCTAAGAATTTCTTTTAACAGTAAAGGGTATTTGACTAGGCGACTTCAAGGATTATCGAGGAAGCTCCACAGATCTAGTTTTCGGCTGAAGAGAGACTCAAGACATCGCTGGAGAAAGTCCTGGACTCTTGGGTCCTGTTTCTTTCGGTCAAGAAGAGCTTTGGCTGCCAGCTAGTTACTACAGTAGCCTTTGTAGGCATTCAAGCCTGGCAACCAGTTCACAAGAATGTGACCAATCTGCTCCACTCTCCCATCAGGCTTCGTTGCTTTGCCTATTCTTGCCAACAAATCTTCATGCAAAGGTATGTAAGCATCCAAGTCACCAAATATATGTGTGAGTTCCTCTTCTGACATGATAGACAACTTTAACATGGGGTTGTGGTAGGCCTTTCTTGCAAGTTTGAGATCTTCAATTAAGTCCTGTTCACCTCGGGCCATTTCATATATTGCCTCCTGATGTTTGATTTCTTTGGCAGTTAAAGACTCTCTCATGTTGACATCTAATGTCTCTGACCACAGGATGCTACTTCTCCTTTTGGCAGGTGTTGGAACTGTCGATCTGCGTGATGACTTTTGGGCAGAACCTGGGGGTCTGCTGTCACCATGACGTGTAAATGGCTGTACTGTATGACCAAAGCATCTGGCTGCTCCATTTCTCACAGGAGAGATTAAATTTGCCAAGGATGTACCTCGAGTTAAAGGTCGAACTCTTTTATTGCTTGGTTCCTCTTGTTCTCTGAAGGACTGATTATTAACATCGAGGACTCGTATAGTCCTTTTTATAGGTAGGAGACCTCCAATCTCATCGTGTGCCACCATGCTTTACCAAGCATCCCTTAAAATCTTGGAAGTTCAGTAATGTCCAAGTCAGCCCTATAACAGAGCACTACACAGGCACACGGGCTTTTCTTTCCAGGGCTCGGCCACCCTGGGAAGCCATTTGCTCTGTCGCATACTTGTGGCAGAGTTAACAGCTTCTCTTTAACCCTCTTTTTATCTTTTGCTAATTCTTCTTGTTTTTGATATTCATCTCTGTTGTTGAAGACCTTAAAGGCTAGGTTAAGGAGTTCCCCCTGGGGGGTTTGTGGTCCTTCTTATAGCTTCTATGATTTGTGGTGAATATCTGGGGCCACCTGGTATATGAAATTCATGGCCAGAATTGATCTTCCTTCTGGGGATTTCTGGGTCAAGATTTGTATATTGCTGGAGAACCTACAAAAGGCAGGAGAGGATGGAAGGGTTTGTGGGAAAAGAAGAAGGCTCAGGAGTTCAAGGAGAGAAAGGATGGAGCATTGGAAGGGTATGGGAGTGGAGGCAGAAGGATGGTTTCTGTGGACTCTGGAGATGGAGAGGGCTAGGATGAAGATTCTGAAGGGCAAGTGCTGGTACATGGAGAGCAGGGTGGCAGAGGTACAGAGTCAGAAGTATCTAATGAGAAGTGATCAGGTGTTGGGAGGCAATGGGGGTCAGAGGAAAGAAGAAAAAAATAGAGGAGCTGGAGGAAGAGAGTGCTGGATTGTGACAGAGTTCAAAAAAGGCAATAATATGGGGAACCTCACTCCACTTCCCAAGACAACTACAATAAGTATCGAGGTCATAGAGTATATTTGAATTGAGGGTCCTATTTAGGGGCCCATGGCATTATATTGGTGCCCAACTGTATTGCAATAGAAAGTGAGGCATCTAGGATGTATGTCCAAGAAGCTGAGTGTAAGTCGGTTCTTGACCAAGGCAGGGGGTGTGGTTTCCTGTGGTGGAATGGAAAGGGAATTCCCCCAAATGGCCCCTAAGAGGCAAAAGAGAAAAGATCTTCTAGAAGTGTATGAGAAAGTAGGACAGCCAAGGGCATCCTCAATGGCTGTCTCCATTTGAGAATTAATGAGAGACTCGATTAGGGAGTGTACCCCAACTTGGAGTCTCTCTGGACCAGGTGCCACAGTGAAGTGGACAGGCCTAACACTAGGTCTTCAGCTTTTGAATCAGAGAGTCTGTCCACCCCTGAAATGGGTCCCAGAAAATTGCAACTCCACCACAAGGGATTTGCTGGTGATGATGCAGTATCGTGGAGGAGATGTCCCCATATGGGCCACCAAATGTTTGATAAAGAAATCCAAGGACATGCAGGAGTCCAGATTGGTGACAGCAAGATTTAATAGAGGACATCACTACAGAGGTAGTGAAGGGCTGAGTCAGAGAGACTATAGCACCAAAAGGAAAACATTTTGGGGTTTAATAGTACTTGGTCTTTAGCCAAGCAGATGCTCCCAAGTGTCTGTGCAGGATGTAGGTGTAAGAATTTCCATCTCTTGGTTAGCAGGACTTGAGTCTTGCAGATGTTCTCAGGGTCTGGGCAGGACGTTTTCCAGCTCCTCTCTGGGCCTGTGATTTCTCTAAGAAATAAACTCAAAATATCACAATTAGTTTCCTTGTTTCTGCCTTCTCTACAAAAGGAATTATGAATCACCTGTATACATCATGCCTTATGCTGATCCCTATCCAAAAGGTCCTATAAAACCCCCTCTGAGGTTGTCTGTACTCCCATCTGAGTATGTACTGTATTATATCAAATAAACTTTCTTGTTGCATAAGTCGATTGCACTTGTCTCTGAACTTTTCCATGATAAAGACAGGAACTCTCTAACCTCCACCTCTGGTGATAAATGTCTTTGTCACTTTTCTATTTCATTCAGCTTTCTAGTCTTAACATAATCCTTTTCTCTGTCTCTGTTTTATTTCAGACCAGTAGGGAAGTGGAAGTTCAAAGAACGTAATCTCACTCCACCCACTGCTCTGTGGCTCCCCCAAATCCTGAGGTGGTAGGGGCTTAGTTCCCACACCATGAAGATGCAAGCAGATGCTGGATGCCAGATCACTCTGTCTTCAGAGGTTGGCAAGGGATTTGCCCTATGTTGAGCATGAGTTCAGTGAACTTCCCTTTCCTCCCTGTGTTCTTCCTTGCTCTCTACTGTCTGTACACCTGCTAACATTCACTTCTACTCTTGTTTTAATGAATTCCTTCCTTGGCAACATTTGTCTGACCTAGTTGAGAGTTTCTTCTCAGTTAGAATCAAGAATCCTCCCCTGTCTAGGTTGAGGTTTCACCTAGTGCATAGGGAGAGACCTCCCCAGACACAGCTGCCCTGTAACACCAGCACCTTTTACTTTATAGTTGATCTTTCCCACCATTGATTTACAGTGCCACTTTCATTATATATCAACTTTCTATGTATGCATGAAGCTATTTCTGTTTAAGCTATGTTCCATTTATTAGCTCATACCTGCATCAGTATCATAGTTTTCATTATTACAGTTTTATAATAAATCTTGATAACTGATAGGATAAGTCTGCACACCTTATTCCTCTTTTTCAAAATTGCCTCAATATCCTTAATTCTTTCATCATTCAGAGGGATTTTAGGGTCAGCTTCCAAACTTCCATTAAAAATCTGTTGAGATTTTCATCAAAATTGCATTGAAATTATTGATTGATTTGGCAAGAATTAGCATCATTACTATGTGGAGTGTTTTCTGTTCATGAATATAGTAGGTTTCCATACACCTATTTATGAGTCTTTGTGTTGTTAAAAAACAAAATTTAATTGAGTAAATTATTTGAAAATTTAATTGACTTTATTAGGGGATGGGGCATCATCGCTTCTAGCAAGTAGAAAGATGATTTGAGGAATTGTACAAAATAAAAGGTTTTTATAGGAAGGATGATGCAGCAAGAAGTTAATAGCAAAAGAAAAGGATTGTTTCAGGTAAGGTCACCCTCCCTTAAGGGGAAGAGCAGGGGATCTTATCATGCAGGTCACCTCATCTTTTGGGGGATGGAGAGGGCCTATATGATAGATTACCTCATTGGTGATGACCAGAAATCCCTAATTGACTGTTATGAGGTCACATTCCTGTAATAGGTTGAAACTGTAATTAATTTGGTTTTATGGTCTAATGACTCCATTTAGGCTTGTTATTTATTTTTCTTAACAATGTCTTTTAATGAAGTTCATTATTTACACCATAAATATCTTGAGTCTTATTTTTTTTTAATTGTGTTATGGTGGAACATTATTTTAAACCATTTTATTGAAGTATGATTGACATATAAAAAGCTGTAGATAATGTATACAATTGGATATGTTTGGAGATAAGTGTACACCTATAAAACCACCATCCCAGTCAATGCCATGAACTTATCCACCACCTCCAAAAGTTTTCTCTCTCCTTCTTAGTTTTGTTTTGTTTTGTTTTTCCTTTTGCAATAAGAGCCGTTAACATAAGATATACCCTCTTAGCAAATTTTTCAGTAGACAATAAATTATTGTTAATTATAGACCCTATGTCTGCATTATATATCCAGAACTTATTTATCCTACATACCTGGGACAGTGATACCCTTTGACCAACACTTCCCCATTTTCCCTTTCTCCAGCCCCAGGGCAACTACCATTCTACTCTCTGCTTGACTATTTTAGATTCCACATATAAGTGGGATCATGTAGTATTTGTCTTTTCATGTTTGGCTTATTTCACTTGGCTTATTTTCCAGGTTCACGTTGTCATAAGGGGCAGGATTTCTTTTTTTTTAAAGGTTGAATAATATGGCATAATATCATTTCATTGTATGAATATACCACATTTTCTTTATTAGTCCTTGATGGACATTTATTATTGATTGTATATGTTGGCTATTGTGAATAATACTGTAATAAACATGTAAGAACAGATATTTCTTTGAGATTCACATCTGAATTCCTTTGGATATATATCCAGAGGTGGATTGAAGGATCATATAGTAATTCCATTTTTAATTTTTTGAGGAACATATATATTGTTTTCTACAATGGCTGTACTAATTTACATTCTTACTAACAGGGTACAAGTGTTCTCTTTTCTATACATTCTTGCCAATGCTTACTGTTGTTTGTTTGATAATAGCCATAGATGCAAGGTGATATCTCACTGTGGTTTTGGTTTGCATTTTCCTGATGATTTTTAGTGTGTTGAGCCCCTTTTCATATACGTGTTGGCCACTTGATTATCTTATTTAGAGAACTGTCTATTCGGGTCCTTTGAATATCTTGGAAGAAATGTGTTCCTTAGTGTCTTACTGTGTTTATTGCTATTATAAAATTCTCCTAAAAATTACATTGTATGATTGTTTATTGAAATTATATTGGAATGCATTGATTTTGATTTTTTCATCAACTTTATTTTTAGAAGTTTTATATTTATAGAAAAATCATGAGAATAGTACAGAGAGTTCCCATACTCCCTACACACTGTTCCCTATTGTTGACATCTCGCGTTAGGTTGTTGCATTAGTTACAACTAATGAAAGTATATTGCTATATTATTATTAACTAAAGCCCATGCTTTATTCTAACTTCTTTGGTTATTACCTAATGTCCTTTTTTTCTATCTGAGGATCCAATCCAATATACTGTTATTGTAGCTAGATAGCCAGACAAAAGTGGGGCAAGGGAGGGAGACTTCAGTTGGATGCTTGCTTACATTCTACACATTCTGTGTAAGCTATTCCCATTGGATGTGGAGTTAGAATATATGTAACAGACTGGCCAAAACCATCTAGTTCCAACATGGAGGAGAAATTGACCCAAAATTCACCCTAAAATCCATTAACATACTCCTCTGTCATTAGCATAGTAAAAATCACACCTGCCTGCACCCGACAGTTCCAATGGAGAATAAATGTAGTCAAAAATCCCTTCATGCGACGTGAGGGTGGAGCAAGCCTGAACTCCAGGAAGACTCCACCTGTTCGTTTTGAAACCTAATCTCATGTAGTGAATATTCATCTCCATTCATATAAATAAAAGGCTTCCTATTGTTCCATGTGCAACCCCCTTTGGGTTAGCCTGCACCT